CAGTCCACAGGGATGTCACCTTGTCACCTCCAACAAGGAAAAGGGCTTCTGTCCCTACAACTGTATAGTCCTCGACATCATCTAAGCCTGTGAATCAGAAATTAGGCCTCATACTCCACTCTGGAGTTAGTTCTAAATGGCTTTGTTCACTGTTGCTCTGAGTTCCACCACTAGAACAAATATTTTGAGGCCCAGACAGAGTGGGTATAAAAATTTTTATTGATATTATATTGTTTCAGTCCCATGATACTCCCCGTGACGTATTCGATATGCCAAACACAGTAACAACAAAGTCTCCAATGGAGACGTTACTGGGCCCGCTCGAGCAAATCGATGATCAACGGGAGGGACTTTGTAGGAGTACTGCTATTTATTCAGCCACTGATTAGCTGATTGAATTGTGCATGAACTCCACCTTACTTTTTTATAATTTTATTTATTGAATCACCGTGAGATTATGAGAAACAGCCTCGTTCCTGACGCCCCATTCGCTCTCAACAGAACGACCATCTCCGAGTGCAACAGCTATGTGTACCTAGGTCGAGAAGTCAAAATGACAAATGACCTGCACCCGAGCTGCGCAGGAGGAAGAGAGCGGCTTGGAACGCCTTCAAGAACGTGGAAGAAATAGCTAAGAGGACGAAGAACCTCCGGCTCCGGGCACATCTCTTTGATTCCACTGTTCTTCCTGCATTAACATATGCCTCAGAGACCTGGGCCCTACGCAAACAAGATGAGAACGCTATTCAGGTCTCCCAAAGAAGAATAGAAAGAGCTATGCTTGGAATATCACTTTTCACTCAAATGAGAGAAAGAATCCGGAGTTCTGACATCCGTCGACGATCAAGAATCAGGGACGCTGTCTCATTTGCCAAGGTGTCGAAAATAAGATGGGCTGGTCACGTAATGAGATTTAAAGACGACCGCTGGACTAGAGCTGTTACCGACTGGATTCCACAGGATGTCAAAAGACCGCGTGGCCGCCCACCTACCAGATGGTCAGACTTCTTCGTCAAGATCATGAACGATCGGTTTGAGGCCCTTCATGTTCCCGGAGCGAACAGATGCCATTGGGCTACACTAGCACGCGACAGGGACAAATGGAGACGTTATAGGCGCCCGCTCGAGCAAATTGACGACTAACGGGAAGTTAAGTGATTAAGTGATTAAGTGAATCACCGTGAGAGCAGTTACAAAGCTTTTGGGTCTAAGTCTCAGTTATACAATGAAACACCCGTACCTTCACCAGTGCCCATTCTCCACCACCAAAAACCTCAGTATACCCCCATCCCACACCCTCCCCCTCCCTGAGGGGCAGATGATTTCCACATTACTCTCTCTCTACTTTGATCACATTCAATATTTCAACACCAGACCCACCATTATTATTTGAGATTTTACCCCAACACTCAGATCTGCTGAAAAGGCAACAATAGACAATTTGTGTTCTATTGCTGGTTATGAATAACATATGATGTCGTGTGGCTGCAGTAGGGCCATGTGGTTTTGAAATTCCGAAATTTTAACACTTAAAATCTGGAGGGATTTCTGCCAAAAGCCACTGGGCTTCGAGATCTGCTCCTGAGTCTCTGGGATCATGGCTATTGAGCAGCTTGATGAGGAGCTAGAGAGGCCGTTCGTGGGTGATGACTTGGGGTCTCGTTGGGGTGGGGAGGACAGGCCCGGCTCCCCCACCCGATCCCGTGAGGCCCAACAAGTTTCGTCACATGGGCCCAACTCTGACTGTCCAGACGGCCACCGAGCCACCAGAAGGAAACAGGTGGAGGGGCAGCACCCTTTCCCACCTGGGGTGGGCCGGCGACAGTTACCTACTGCGGGGTCTGGACACATTTCTGCCAAAAGCCGCTGGGTTTCGAGATTTGTTTCTGAGTCTCTGGGATCAAGGCTGTTGAGCATCTTGATGAGGAGCCAGAGAGGTCATTCGTGGGCGATGACTTGGGGTCTCATTGGGGTGGGGAGGACAAGCCCGGCTCCCACACCCGATCCCGTGAGGCCCAACAAGTTTCGTCACGTGGGCCCAAGGCTGACTGTCCAATGGCCTCTGGAGGATGACAGCCTCCAAGTCACCAAGAGGGAGCAGGCGGAGGGACAACACCCTTTCCTCTCTGGGGTGGCCCGGCGACAGTAACGTACTGTGGGGTCCGGATGCATTTCTGCCAAAAGCCACTAGGTTTTAAGATTTGTTTCTGAGTCTCTGGGATCATGGCCGTTAAGCAGCTTGATCAGGGGCCAGAGAGGCCATTCGTGGGAGATGACTTGGGGTCTCGTTGGGGTGGGGAGGACAAGTCCAGCTCCATCCCCATCCTGTGAGACTCTGTGTGTCTTGTCACTGGGGGCCCAAATATGACTATCCAGTGGCCTCAGAAAGAAGGCAGCCACTGGGCCGCCAGGGGGAACAGGCCAAGGCACGAAACCTATTCCCACTTGGGTTGGCCTAGCACCAGTAGCCTACTGCAGAGACCAGAAGCATTTCTACCTAAAGCCGCTGGGTTCCGAGATTCGTTTCTGAGTCTCTGGGATCATGGCCATTAAGCAGTTTAATCAGGAACCAGAGAGGCCTTGCCTCCAATTATATAGCTGAGCCGGAGGTGGTTTGTGGGTGTGTTTCCCACATACCTAACTTTTGGCCGTTTACTTTCTTGGGAAACTTTGTCCCAAGTTTTTGGGGTCTGGCCAAAGGCACAGCAGCAATTTGGGGGTATCTGGAAGTCTGAAGGCGCCATCAGGCTGCTGATGCACTCGCCTCACAGGTACAGATTGACCTGCTGGCGGCACCATACCCCCTGATAAAAGGTATTTTGCCTTGATTCTTTCAAAAAAAATTGGAGAGGTTTAGAAGCTTACATTTTGTTTTTAAATTTTTTAAATTTATTTTTAATTGAATCACAGTGATATACACAGTTACAAGGCTGTTCATGATTGGGTTTCAGTCACACAATATTCCATCTTTCGCCAATGTACATTTCCCACCACTACCGATGTCTCCAGTTTCCCTCACGTCACTGCGACCCCCTATCTCTATAGCAGGCATTCTCTCTCTCTCTCTCTCTCTCTCTCTCTCTCTCGCTCGCTCGCTCGCTCTCGCTCTCGCTCTCTCTCTCTCTCTCTCCTGTCTTTCTTTCCTCTCTCCTCTCTCTCCTCTTTCCTCTCTCCCTCCTTTTTGGTTTGCAATTCAAATATTAAATGTTATCAAGTAGCCGCACGGGAGCCTTGTGGAAAGCAGGTGTGAGCCGGGGCTGGCGGGAGCAGCGGGGACCTAATGGGAAGGGGGGCTTTGTGGGCCGTCCCCCACGCCCCACCGAGGTCGCCAGCTGCCCCCCACGAGCGGCTCTCCGGCACGGCCACGGCCCCGGAGGCACAAGGACTTAGCACAGAGAACCAGCCGCTTGGAGCAGAAAAGCAAAGGGACTTGTGTTAAACCGCGCGCCACCAAGCCTGCCCGGAGGGGAAAGGGCGTTGACCAGCCCGCTCGCTCCTCTCTGGAAAGAAAGATGGCAGCCGCACGGGAGCCTTGTGGAAAGCAGGTGTGAGCCGGGGCTGGCGGGAGCGGCGGGGACCTCATGGGAAGGGGGGCTTTGTGGGCCGTCCCCCATGCCCCACCGAGGTCGCCAGCCGCCCCCCACGAGCGGCTCTCCGGCACGGCCACGACTCCAGGGCACACAAACCAATCTCTTAACTAGCTAACTTTTAATAGAAATTCTTCCAGGGTCAATAAGTAAAATAGCAGAAATTCAAAACCGCGCGGCCGCTATTGCGGCCGCGCGACCTCATTTTATTCTTAAACCAAATTGTAGAAAGCAAATCATTTCACAACGCTGTTTCAGCATGTCTGATTGTGGGGGGTGGGTCGTAAACTCTAAACAATAATTTGGCATCTTCTATCGAAATAATCTATCTAGTCAAAGTAGATAGAGTATTAACTAGAACTCATCTGCCTCACAAGAATTGGGAGGGGTGGGAGGTGGGGGTCTATTGGGGTTCGGGGTTAAAAATGAGTATTGGTAAAGGGAAATATGTTTGGTATCTACATGACTGAGACCTAAACCCGAAAGCTCTGTAACTTTTCCCACAGTGATCCAATAAATAAATAAATTATAAAAAAAAAAAAAAGATCAGCCCATAATTAACCAAGGAAATGCAGGCTAAGGCCATAATTAAAATAAAAATAACTGATATTACCTATTATGAAAGATAGTATATGTACTGAAGATGTGAGAATAAACAGTAAACAAAATTAGGAAAATGATTTGAAATTACATCTACAATCTAAATATTACATTGCAATCTAAATATGCACATTTATAAAGATAAAGTACTTCTAGAAATGCATATATATATATACACACACACACAATTACCAACATATAAAGGGCTGTTCAAAGCATTCTCTTTCGAATCTGCTTTTGATTTATAGGAACCTATACTAGAAGTGTACGAGTAGAATGAGCAAAATTGTGGACTATTATATGGCAAAGAAAAAAGGAACACCCATATGACTATGATAGTACACTGATTTTTTTTAAACTTTAAAAACCTACAGACCACAGGGCTGGAGCAATAGCACAGCGGGTAGCGGGTTTGCCTTGCATGCGGCCGACCAGGGTTCGATTCCCACATCCCATATGGTCCCCTGAGCACCGCCAGGAGTAATTCCTCAGTGCATGAGCCAGGAGTAACCCCTGTGCATCTCCGGGTGTGACTAAAAAAGCAAAAAAAAAAACTGAAAACAAAAAAACCTAAAACCTACACTCCAGTGAAAATGGGAGAAACAGTTTACTAAGAATAAATATCAGTACTGAGAGCTGCAATTGTATACTAATTTTTAAATATATTATTATAAAATGAAAAAAATAAATAAATAAATAAATGTTATCAAGTATATCCCTTTACATACTAATCTTTTATGCAATTCAATTTCACTTTCACCTCAATACACTGTAGCTTCTGAAATTAAAATCAATGGACAGCAGTTATTTGAATTTATTTTTAATTTATTTTATCTCTGTGGATGTTATAGCAATATGGAGCTGAGTCATCAGTGATTATTGTAGTTCTGTTCGTGTGTGCAGCTTCTGTAAAAACAAATTCACAGAATAAACAGAATCCAAAAAAAAAAACCACCAAAGTGTTCCTTTTTTGATCACTAGGTGGCACCAGAACTCTGAATTAATTTAAAAAAAACAAAAAGGAAAACTTGACTAAATTATATTTAGGCCACTTGCTTTAGACCCTTCAATTAATGCCTTCCAAAAGTCTTTCATTTATATTGATCAGTGATCTGGAATACCACAGCCTTGGGCCATTGCTCTAGGGAAGATCAAATTAGGCTTGACAGCTTAGCCCTCTGCCTCCTAACCACTGTCTTCTGATCACCTGGAGTCTCAGCAGCTTGTCTTGGCGCCACAGCAACTGCCGGCCACATTGGCAGAACATCTGGGCTTTTGTTTGTCAGATTCTTCTGCAAGCTTGAATGGGTCCGAGATTAAATCCTGTCAAAAGACAAAGCCAAAGGAATAGACAAGTTAAAGGTGTTTTGAGGTACCTGGACCCTAATATTTCCTTTTGACTGAGGGTGTTGACCTAGAAGAGAGATAGAAGCAATTGTATAATTCCATGGATTCCTAGGACCACCGGTTCTCTCATTATAGAGGTGGACAACTTCCTGGTGATTCTAATCAAATTATTTCTATTCTCAAGATCAATGAAATTTTTTTAAATTTTGTTTTTGGTCTATACCCAGCAGTACCTAGGAGTTACTCCCGGCTCTACACTCAGGACTTACTCCTAGTGGATTCAGGGACTATATGGGTTGCCAGGAATCGAGCCCAGGTTAGTCGCAAACAAATCAAGTACCCTCCCTGCTGTACTGTTATCATTCTGGCCCCACTCAATGACATTTTAAACTTTTGTCTCGAGGCTGGGGTCAAACCCAGTCAAGCATGTACTCCACCACTGAACTAGCCCCCAGATACTTTTGTTGATTTGTTTCAGTTTGGGGGCTACACCCAGCAGTCCTGAGAGGCTACTCCAAGCTCAGTGCTAGGGATACATTCCCAGGGGTGCTTAGGGAAGCATGAGGTGCCTGGGATTGAACCCAAGACTCCCACTTGCAAAGCACGTACCCCAGTCCACTGAGCTATCTCCTAGGCTCTCCCAGAGAAAAGATGCTTTTAAAGTCCTACTGAATCAGAGAAGTTGATTTCACTGTTTTATTTTGTGGGATTCCTACTTATGCAGATGCATTTTGAGGGGGAGGGAATTAGCTACATTCAGCTGTGCTCAGGACTTACTTCTGTCTCTGTGCTCAGGCATAACTCCTGGTAGTGATCAGAGGACCATCTGTGGTGCCAGGGATGGAGCCAACGTCAAAAAAGTTCAGCCATGAACAAGCGCTCTGACCTGTACTATCTCCATGGACACTTAAATGGACTTTTCGCCCTTTTGGAACAGAGATGCTGGAGGGCTGAGATGTTGGCATCCCATTTGGTTCCCCCAGCATCGCCAGGAGTAATTGTTGAGTGCAGAGTCAGGCAGTAACCCCTGAGCATCACTGGGTATAACCCAAAAAAACCAACAAAAAACGGGTACATCCTGCTGTCAGGTCACTATTAGCAATGACTAACATGCCGTGTTGAGATGCCAACAACAGCCCAAGAGATCTCAGTGTAGAGGGAAGGGAAGAAGCTGCAGGAAGGAAGAGGTGAAGAGGAGAAAAACAAGAGGAAAACATAGAAGAAAAATAACAGAAGGACTCTCCCACAAGCCCAGTGACAGTGGAGCTGCTGATGGGCAAGGCAGAGCCTCTCTTTCCTCCAGCGGAGGGCAGGGTGGGTGAGGGCACCCAGCCTTGCACCCAGCTGCCTGCCTGGGTCTCGGGCTTATCACAGAGGCCTTCAGTGATAAAGCTAAGAGGCTCTGCCCCAAAGTGCAGGGCTAGAGTTCTAGGACACACAGCTGTGCATCCTCCTTAACTCCTCCTTCAGTCTCCCAGATACCCACTTCAGAAACTTGGAGCAGAGCTAGACACTGGCACACAGGAAAGAAAGGAAGCCGGGAGATAAGCCAGCTCTCGTTTCCAACCTCAGGCCTCAGCAGGAGCGAGAGGAGCAAAGTGACACGAGAAAACGGCCTTCGAGAAAGAAGCCCCCTTGTTCATGAGCTTCCCGTTTTGAGACTGGCCACCCTGGGAAAACTGGGGTTGGGGAACTTTTCCAGCCTAGTTTGGGGAATCCAACCCTCTGAGGAAAGTTGGGTGTGTACCCCAAACAATAAAATAATAATAAATGATAAATGTATTTAATTTGTATATTTTTTCAAAGCTACCTCTTACTGTTTTCTGTTTTTAAATGCCATTGCGGGAACGGAGAGAGTACAGTGGTTAGGGCACACAGCCTGGCACATAGTCGATCCAGGTTCAACCCCCGGCATCCCATATGGTTACCCAAGCATCTCCAAGAGTAATTTCCTGAGTGCAAAGCCTGCAGTACCCCTGGGCATTGCTGGGTATGGTCCTCCCTCAAACCCTCCCACCTTAAAAAAAAAAACACCATTGAGTGCCAGGGGGTCAGTACAGCATTTGCCTTGCATGTAGCGGACCCAGGTTTGATCTCTGGTCCTACATTTGGTCCCCTGATCCCTCGAGGAGTGAGTGATCCCTGAACAGAGAGGCAGAAGTAAGCCTGAGTACTGCTGGGTGTGGCCCCCAAACCAAAACAATAAAAATGGACTTGGGGACATACTGAAAGTCACAGAATTATTTCTGAGGAAATTCCCCTAGACACATCAGAATTGAAAGGGTAGCAGATGCCCTGAGGTCCACGCAGGAAGCCCTTGGTTAGAAATCTCTGACTGATCAGCATTCAGAAAGTGCAGTGATGAAATTAATTCAAATCCCTTTTTAGATGCAGAGAGGAGAGAAAGGAAGTCACGGTGACTATTGAGCGCAGTGGTGTCAGCTGACTTATTTGCTGTGGCAGCAGCCCGTGTTGAAAGTCACACCAACCTCAGACTGCGGACCACAGCTGCCTCCACACGTTGCTGGCTTCGCTCCCGTCGGTCTGAACTGGAACTCTGGGGCGAATCTCGAATTCTTCAAGGTGGCTGCAGTGTGTCCGTCCACCTCCACCACCTCCCCTGCCTAAGGAACAGGAAGGGGAGGGAGCAAGGTTGGTTCCTTCTATTAGGATTTGCAGTTTGGGGGCCATACCTGGTGGTGCTCAGAGAGGACTCAGGGAACCATGTGGTACAGGAACCAAAGCCCAGCCTCCCACATACAACACATGTGCTCAGCCATTCCACTCGACTCCTTTTGCTTTTTTGTTGTTGTTGTTGTTTGTTTGTTTGTTTTTGCTTTTGGGGTCACACCCAGTGATGCACAGGGGTTACTCCTGGCTTTACACTCAGGAATTACTCCCGGCAGTGCTCGGGGGACCATATGGGATACTGGGAATCGAACCCGGGTCGGCCGCGTCCAAGACAATCACCCTACCCGCTGTGCTATCACTCCAGCCCCTCCTTTTGTTTTTAAAATGGAGGTCACAACCAGAAGTTCAACGTGTCTCTGTGTGCTGGGTAGAGGGAGGGTAGAGAGGAGGAGTAGGAATACCAAATGGTACCAAGCACCAAACTCTCTCCACAGCCCAATTAATTGATTTTGATTTCCATTTTCAAATTATTTTGGTGTTCGGGACACGCCCAGCTGTGTTCAGGGATCCCTCCTAGCCATTCTTAAGGTACTACATGTGGGATGGGCCGCGAGCAAGGCAAGAACTTTAATCCCTGGACTAGCTCCCTACCCCCTTAATTTATGTATTTAAAACTTAAACTTTAGGGGCTGGAGCAATAGCACAGCGGGAAGGGAATTTGCCTTGCACGCGGCCAACCCAGGTTCAATTCCCAGCATCCCATATGGTCCCCTGAGCACTGCCAGGGGTAAATTTCTGAGCACAGAGCCAGGAGTAACCCCTGTGCATTGCCAGGTCTGACGCAAAAAGCAAAAAAAAAAACACTTAAACTTTGGAGTCAGGAAAGAAAATCAATATGCTATTGGAGCCAAAATAAGAAAAGACAAATAGATCCTTCCACCTTCAGGACAAATAATAACCATATAGTCTATTCATTTAGTTCCCAATAAGCAGGAATGTTTATTAAAAGTATGTATAGGAGGGGTTTTTTGTTTGTTTGCTTGTTTTGACCACACCCAAGGGTGCTCAGCACTTACTCCCAGGTCTGTGCTCAGGGATGACTCCAGATGGAGTTGGGGGAACCAAAAGGAGTTCTGGGGAATTGAACCTGAATATGCCGCATGCAAGGCGAGCACCCTACCTACTGGACCATCTCTCCGGTCCTTGTTATAGTAACAGCTATAGAAAGGCTGAAGAACAGGCATCATTGTTCCCTCTCTTACAATGGTACACATTGCACCTATGAGAATTTTGGTCATTCATTCATTTACTCAAATATGGGCTGGAGTCATAGTCCAGAGGGCAGGGTACTTGCCTTGCATGCAGTCAAACCAGGGTCAATCCCCAGCATCCCATATAGTCCCCCGAGCACTCTAGGAGTGATTCCTGAGTGCAGAGCCATGACCACAGTTAGGTGTGGCCCAAAATAGTAAGCAACCAAGTCCGAATTTGAACTCGGATATCAGATTCTAAAGCATGTACATTTTCATATTGATAAAAGCAAAAAAGATGTGAAAGTAACCATTTGTGTCATCATTAAACCCCTTAGTTCCATGGCACACTGTAGCACTGTAGCACTGTCCTTCCATTGTTGATCGATTTGCTCGAGCGGGCCCAGTAACGTCTCCATTGTGAGACTTATTACTGTGTTTGGCATATCGAATACATCACAGGGAGCTTGCCAGGCTTTGCTGAGTGTGCGAGATACTCTCGGTAGCTTGCCGGGCTCCCCAAGAGGGGCAGAATAGAACCCAGCTCGGCCGGGCTGGCTGTGCACAAGGCAAACGCCCTACCGCTGTGCTATCGCTCCAGCCACTAAACAACTGAAATGTGGTTATGTGATACCTATTTTTTTCTATCCTTAGTAATTCCATTAAACTCATGCTTCTGCAGAGCTGGCAATACAGAATGGGAGTCAAAGTAGCTGCCTGACATGAAATTGGCCTGAGTTCCATCCCCAGCACCCTCATAGGACCCCTGTGCACCTCCAAGAGTGATCCCTGAGCACAGAGCCAGGAATAACCCTTGAGCATCAACAGGTGTGGTCCCAAGACAGAAACAAAACACAATACCAAAAATATTAACTGGTGCTTCTCAAAGTACACTACTTGGATATGATCAAAGAATAGTGGTTTAAAAGAGGTGGGGTGAAGAATTGCGGTTATATAGAAGAATGTTTCGTTCCTGAGCTGTACATGCAGAAGGACTTAAGGGTAACACAGCATAATGGAGGCATAAATATAATATACTAACAGTTCAGTCACTTCACTTGATCACTTGACATCCCGTTATTCATCGATTCACTCGAGCGGGCACCAGCAATGTCTCCATTCATCCCTGTCATGTGCTAATGTAGCCCAATGGCCAGGAACACGAAGAGCCTCAAATCGTTCAGGGTCTTGACGAAGAAGTCTGACCATCTCATAGGTGGGGGCCATGTGATCTTTTGACGTCCCGTGGAATCCAGTGGGTAATGGCTCTAGACCAGTGGTCATCTCCAAATCTCATTACGTGTCCAGCCCATCTGATTTTTGACACCTTGGCAAATGAGACAGCTTCCCTGATTCTTGACTATCAACGAAGGTCGGAACTTCAGATTCTTTCTCTCATTTGAGTGAAGCATGATACTCCAAGCATAGCTCTTTCAATTCCTCTTTGGGAGACCCAAATAGCGTTCTCATCATGTTTGTGTAGGGTCCAAGTCTCTGAGGCGTATGTTAATGCAGGAAGAACAGTAGAATCAAAGAGATGTGCCTGGAGCCTGAGGTTCTTCATCCTCTTAGCTATTTCTTCGATGTTCTTGAAGGCGTTCCAAGCCGCTCTCTTTCTCCTGTGCAACTCAGGTGCCAGGTCATTCATCGTGTTGACTTCTCGGCCTAGGTACACATAACTGTTGCATTTGGAGATGTTCGTCCCATTGAGAGTGAATGGAACGTCAGGAACGAGACCATTTCTCATAAACATTGTCTTTGTAAGATTCAGCTGTAGTCCGAACCTTCCACACTCACGGTCTAACTCGACTAGCATTTGTGCCGCTTGGCTGATGTTTGATGTTATAAGAATGATGTCATCAGCGAAGCACAGGTGGTGTAGTTGCCGACCATCTATCTTCACTCCCATTTCTTCCCATTCCAGTTGTCGCATGACGTTCATGAGGGTGGCACTAAAGAGTTTTGGTGAAATAGTATCACCCTGCTGAACCCCTCTCTTGACATCAATGTTCACCTCCCTATAGAATGGTGAGATCCTGGTAGTGAATCCGCAATACAGCTCACGGAGGATCCTGATGTATTGAATTTGAATGCCATGTTTGGCTAGGGCCTCGATAACCACTTCAGTCTCAACAGAATCAAAGGCCTTCTTTAAATCAATGAACATTAGACGACGCGGCATCTTGAACTCCCGAGAAACCTCAATGAGCTTGGTTATCGTGTGGATATGGTCGATTGTGCTAAATCCTTTTCGGAAACCAGCTTGCCTGTATAGTTGTTCTTCATCTAGTGTTCTACTAATCCTATTCAGGATGACTCGAGTGAACAGCTTATAGACGACAGACAGCAAACAGATCAGGTGATAGTTGCCAATGTCATGGATGTCTCCTTCTTGTACAGTAGTACAGTCCTGCTGGTTTTCCATTGGGACGGAACCTTGCATTCAGACATGTAGCGTGTGAAGAGCCGAGCCAGTGTATTGATGAGTACTGACGGCAGGTTCTTCAGGTGTTGAGGTCTGACCTTGTCTAGGCCAGGTGCTGTTCGATTCTTTACCGATGAAATGGCGTGTCGGATTTCAGAAGGGAGAACTTTGAGAATGACATATCCATCCTGCAGAATTTGGTATGTGGTCAGGTGGACGTGGCTATCAAAGAGATCCGAGTAGAAGTCATGGATAATCTTCTCCATTGCCCTTCTGGAAGATGTGATAGATCCATCACGACATCGGAGGGCAGTCATCTTTGTCTTGTAGTGGGCAAAGGACAGGCGGGCTTTGCGAATGCTTTTCCCAGCTCTGCCACATCTGCCCGCACTGCTGCTCTTCTCTCTTTGAGGTCTTCCTTTATTGGTTTTCTGCACTGCTTTGCGAGTTCGGACATTCGCTTGCCGTTGCCTGAGGCTTGTGCCAAGCCACACTGGCAAATGAGCTCGAGAGTTTTCAAAGAGAGTCGTCTTTTTGTGGCTCAGTTTACAGTTCAGTAAAGGTACATAAACACCCATGTACAAACCAGAGAAATAAGAAGCATTGCAAAGTGAAGGCTAAGAGTCCCAGTCTATGGAGTAAGGCTCAAAGTAGAAAGAAGGACACAAGTCAGGCTGGTGATGTGGGATGGGAGGAAAAGGAGGAGAGACAGAGGTCCTGGAAATTCTTTCTTACCTTAAATGTGAAATTTGCATCAAAGATTAGTTCCTTTTCATGCCCCTTGATTCCACCGTTGTAAATCACTTGGCATCTCTGCATTGCTTCTGTCTTTGGCAGTTTGAAGAGACGGTATGTCGCAGAGACAAAACGACAGTCACCTGAAAACAAAATTTAGTCAAGAATCCTGCACTTCCTCTGCTGTGGGCCTACTCAGTGACCAAGAGTGCTGGCAACGTAGAGATGGCTCGCACAGGCAGCAACTGCTTTAGCTCTATTAAGTGATTAACTTTAAAGAGTTTCATTAAGTCCCAGATCTGAGAGGTTGCCACTAAACAGAACCAAACCACGATTTCCAGGGGACAGGAAGCTCAGAGTCAGTCGCTCAGTAGACCCTCACTGGTCTCTGAATACAAGCAGTCCCATCGCCAATTATGGCTTACCAACCACGCTTTCCAGTTCCTTGTTTTGAATTGTAATAATACTGGCAGTGACCAGACGTGGAGGGCAGAATCCAACTTTTTGGGCAAGGATGGCAAGGTCCTTCCAGTACAAAGCACCACCCAAGCACTCTCCTGAAAGAAAAAAAGGAAAAAGAAAAAGAAATAAAAAAACATGGGTTCATGCCCAATTCAATCAGCTTAATCAATGGCCGAATAGATAGCAGTACTCCCACATGAAAAAAAAGAAGGAAAAAAAAACACGGGCTGGGTATTAGCTCACACATCACAGCATCTGCCTGGCATATGCAAGCCCCCAAGTTTGATCCCTGGTACCGGGCCACTCCCTGTCCCCCACACTACCAACTGTGGCCCCTATTTATTTTGGCTTGGGGGACATATCTGGTGGTCCTCAAGGGTTACTCCCAGCTCTGTGTTTGAGAGCTGCTCCTGGTGATCCTCAGGGGACCCTGTGGTGCCAGAGATTGAACCGAGGTCTTCCAAAAGCAAAGCCTGCATTCCCTCTGATCCCTCTCTCTGGGCCTGGGGCCTCTATTCAAAACAAAACCAGAACATTGGTCCAAGAAAGAGAAGAACCTTGGTGTATCCCTGAGATCTAGAAAGTTACAATTAAACCATAGGCCAAGATATGACTTGGTTCACATGTGAGGTCCTGGGATTAGTCCTTAGCACCAAAATCAATAGACAAATAATAATCAATAAAACTAGATAAGCCAGCAAATAGCCCACAGGAAACATTCTTTTGTTTTGGGGCCACATCTAGCAGTGCTCAGGAGTTCCTCCTAGCTCTGTACTCAGAAATTACTCCTGGCAGAACTCAAGGGGACCATTTGGGTTGCTGGGGAATTGAACTCAGGTCAACCATATGCAAGGTCATTGCCCTACCTGCTCTGCTATTTCTCCAGCCCCTCCGTAGAAAACATTTTCACAATAGCTATGAAGGTATCACTTTCACCTAACTGTGATCATAATATTCAGGCAGTTTTGAGGCACACAGAGAAAAGCACTGTTATGTTAGTAAACGGGAAAAAGAAACACACACCCACAAAACTATCCCTTAGCTCAGATTAATCTCACAATGATCTGCTCTTGGACACTCCTACTCATGTTCATGAGCATTTTATAGTTTTTTGATTTCTTTTTATTCCCGTTTTTTGGGGGTTGGGGTGTTATATTGTTCTTTGAGGGGAGGAGGCCACACCTGGTATTGCTCAGGGGTTACATCTGGCTCTGCATTCAGGTTATATCTGGCTCTGCATTCAGAAATCTTGCAGGCATTACCCTACATGCTAAATTTGATCCCTTGCACCACCAAAATATATGTGATTTCTGGCGCAGTGCACCTAATGTGTGTAACCTCCAGCTCACAGTGAAAATCAAGACACCTGCAAGAGTCGCACTGCAACCAGGACAGCTTTTCTTTCTTTCTTTCTTTCTTTCAACTAAACTTTCTCTCCTTATAAAAAAAAAGAATATAAATAAAAATGCATGTAAAAAAAAACAACAACACCTTCTCTCCTTGCCTTTCTAAATTGTTCTTGCATTGACCAGGGATTACACAAACACACACAGGCACGCACGCACGCACACACGCAAGCATACTCATACATGCACACACACACAAACACACACACAAACTTTCTTGGGGCTGTTTTATTATGCTCCTGTGGCTGCCATTTTATTATGCACACTTCACAGATTAGAGAACAATAATTCAAAATGATGTATTCCATAGGCCGAGGTCATCCAGTTTGGAGTGCCCAGGAAGGCACGGGAACCTCCAGACCTCGCCCTGGGGTGCCCCTCCCCACCAAGGGCAGCGGAATGGAGCCATTGCATGAGTGAGTCACAGCCTTGCAACCAAACCACATGAACAGACCTACCCCATAGCACTTTGTGGGTCCTGATGTTCTCCGGCAAGTCAAGGCTGGCGTAGACATCACTGAAATAGAGCTCCCCACCGGGCTGCAATGCAGACGGACAGAGTTAGACTCTGCATGAATAAAGGGACAAACACAGATGCTGTGCTGCAGCTGAGCAAAGTGTAACGACGACCCAACAGGGAGCGAGGCAGCCTGTCCCCCTGTCAGAGCAGATGAAGAGGAGGAAGAGCATTGAAGAGCTGAGGGGTTAAGGCATTTGACTTGCTCATGGCTGGCTGAGGTGTACCACCAAAGAAGTGATCCCTGAGCACAGAACCAGGAGTAAGCCCTGAGCACTGCTGGGTGTCAGTCAAAAAAGAGAAAACAAAGCAAACCAACAAGCAACAACAGAAAAACAGAAATAAGAAATTTCTAATACAACCACATCAAAGTAGAACAAAGATAGAAAAGAAACAGTTGCTGAAGCCCTGAGCCGCCAGGCAGGCAGGTAAGTCAGATCTCAGAAGGGAAACTCCTAGGGGCTGGAAGTGGATCGGTGAGGTAAAGTGACTAATGGTTCCTCTGAGACTGAATGGTACTTGGCTTTAAGAGGAGGAAGAGGATCTTTAAAGCTGGGGGCAGGAGAGCGGCGGAGGCTAGTGCCTGCTTTACAGGCATAAAGTGAGGAGTTTGAACCCCGCCATCACTGCACCAGCACCACTAGTGTGCGACCAACCCCTTCCCATCATCTCAACACCCACACAACAAAGGAGGAAGTAATAACATTAAAGCAAAGTAATTACATTAAAAATTGAAAGCAAATTGGGTTTCCAAATCTTTCACGACTCTGACATTAAGGGTTATGTTTTGGGTTTTGGGTCACACCCAGTGATGCTGAGGGTGTGAACTTTCAGCTCTGTGCTCAGAGATCCCTCCTGGTGGGCTCTGAGGACCATATGAGATGCTGGCATTGAACCCAGGTCACCTGTGCACTATGCTGCCCTAATTCTCTGGCCCCTGAGGTATATGTTTTTAATAAAACAACTTTTGAGTGTGTCTCCTTAGTTTACGTTTATTTTTGGTAGGGACCACTCCTGGTGGTGTTTGGAGGATCACGCAGCACTTGGATTTGAATCTGGGATTTCTGCAGGCAAAGCATGTGCTCCAGCCCTTTGCATCATCTCTCTAGTAAATATGTTTCCTACATAAAGAACTATTGTGGGGCTGGCGCGATAGCACAGCGGGAAGGGCGTTTGCCATACATGCAGCCCACCCAAGTTCGATTCCCAGCATCCCATATGGTCCCCTGAGCACCGAAAGGAGTAATTCCTGAGTGCAGAGCCAGGAGTAACCCCTGAGCATTGCTGGGTGTGCCCCGAAAAGGTAAAAAAAAAATAAAGAACTATTGTAAAGGGGCTGGTAGAGGGGCTGGAGAGACTGCAGAACGGGTTTGGCATTTGCCTTTCATGAGGAAGGTAGGAAGGAAGGAAGGAAGGAAGGAAGGAAGGAAGGAAGGAAGGAAGGAAGGAGCAGCCGTGTGGAACAGGAGCTGGAAATGTGCACTCACAGTGTTTGGTGTCAAGAGTTTATTCATCAGTGCAGCTCAACAGGCTGCAACTCAGGCCTTACATGTGGGAGGGACAGGTATCCCGAAGTGGTCCAGGAGCAACCACCCGGCACTCCAAGAAGACCCTGAGCATTAGTGGGGGTGGTCCCAGAACAACAAAAGCAGAAGCTGTTATCAGCCTAGAGCTTTCTCCAGCCCTGTGGAAGCTATACTGGGAGCACTAAATTATGAGCCAATAAAACAAAGGCTTTAGATATATTCAATGATAATCCCGATTTTTGACACAGTAAGCTAAAGGGAAAAAAAGAAAGAAAAGGAATCTGTAACTGGGCTGTTGTTTGCTTCTGTTGTTTAATGTCGGGCTGCTGCTCAGAGTCCCAGGTAGTGCCAGGTGGCCTCGCGCTCCAGCCCTTAGCGTGATCCCCGCCCGGGGTGGGTTTCAACTCAGCAGTTAAATCAAGGGTGCAGGCGCTTAGCTCAAGCGCTAGAACATCAGAGTTGGGCCTGTTTGTCCAGGACCATTTTTAAGAACCATTGACCCCCCAAGTCCTCCTTACCTTGAGCACTCGATACACCTCCCGCAGCACTTGTTCTTTATCAGGCGAAAGGTTAACGACACAATTTGATCTTAAAAAGGCCAAAGGTGAGGCCAGATGGATAAAAGCAAGTAAGGCAATTGTCTTGCACAGGAGCAACCTGCACCCCAGCACCCCAAATGCTGTCCCAAGTCCTGTTAGGAGTGAGCCCTGAGTGCAAAGTCAGGATAAGCCCTGAGTAGAGCCTCGTGAGTCCCATATCAAAAAAAGAAAAGACCACAGGACATGTCAAGCCCATCTGTGCATCACCCCAACATTTTCTGCTCCTTCCAGATCCTAAAGATGGCACCCACCACTTTACAAAGCCACCTCTTGCTACCTGGTCCCCAGCCTCAGCTTTTTCCCAGAGGGGAAGGGGGGAGCAGAGAATCTAATATCTCAATACACGGTAGCAAGTGCAAAAAAAGTCATCAGGTATTATTCTTTCTACCCAGGTGAGCCCCATGTCACAAAAGGCCATGTGCAAACTGAAGGCACAGGTGAGTGGCTAAGTTCCACTTCTGTAAGGCTGTCATGTGGTGGCGGATGGAAAATGGGAGCAAAAGAAAGACAAAACGTGAAAAAAAGATACAAAAAATACCATGCTGGGGGACAGCCAACCCGGGTTTGATGACCGGCACCCCATTTGGTGCCCTGAGCCTGCCAGGGGTGATCTCCTGGTGCAGAGCCAGGTGTGGCACCAAAACCAAATAAATCAATGAAGGAGCAACAGGGAATAGTTGTGTTTTTTGTGGGTTTTTTTTTTCTTTTTGGGTCCACCTGGCGATGCACAAGGGTTACTCCTGGCTCTGCACTCAGGAATTACCCCTGGCAGTGCTCAGCGAACCATATGGGATTCTGGGAATCAAACCCGGGTCGGCCACATGCAAGGCAAACACCCTACCCACTGTGCTATTGCTCCAGCCCGTGTTTTTTTTTTTTTTTTAATGTCATGCTGGAATCAGAGTAATAGTATAGCAAGCAGGGAGCTTGCTTTGCATGCAGCCAACCTGGGCTCGATCCCGTAGTAAGCGCAGAGCCAGGAGTTACTCCTGAGATCACCTGGTGTGGACACCCCCAAAATAAATATCATGCTGGAGGGCGGATAGTACAGCAGGTAAGGCCCTTGCCTCAATCACAGGTGACATGGGTTCAATTCCCAGCACCCCATACCAAACCCTGAACCCCGCCTGAAGTGATCCTTGACCACAAGCCAGGAGAAAGGCCTTAGCACTGCCAGATGTGGGAAAAAAAATCATGCTGGTCCATTGGACTCCCTGGTTTATATTAAGTTTAAAATAAGTTCCCTGGTTTTTCCACTCTGGAGAAACCCACATTCTCTCATGAACATCTCTCTCTCTCTCTCTCTCTCTCTCTCTCTCTCTCTCTCAAAAATAATTTACTTCGCTAAAAATGATAGTTAATTAAATTCAGCAAGTTTCCCCTTGGCCCACTGTGTTCTCCAGCACTACAGTGCTCACCAGCCCCCTCCCATAGCTTCCTGTCAAGTTTAGTTTTCACACCCTTGATGAGGCAATTCAGCAAAAAGTGGTGATGTCTGTGTGTCCAGTGAAAGTGGACTGATACCCACATCAGGATCAATACCTACACCACAATGTCATGACTGTCCGCGTCGATTCCAGCCTCCCCCAGCTTCTCTATGTAGCCAAGAACAAAAGTCACGTTGGGAGTCCGGAAGCCATATTTTTCCATGTGGTAGTCAACGTATTTCTTAGCCGATTCGACCTAAATGAAGAAAAACTGAGCTCATCATCAACATCTTAAAAATACACTATTGGGGGGCTGGAGTGATAGTACCTTGGGTAGGGCTCTTGCCTAGCACAGAGATGACTGGGGTTTGATCCCCGCTTACCCCACATGGTCCCCCCAAGCCCTGCCAGGACTGATTCCTGAGCAGAGACAGGAGTGAGCCCTGAGTATGACCCAAAACCAAAACCAAAAAACACTATTGGGCGCAGTGGGTGGGGCAATCTTGGGGGAGTTGGGGGTGGGGTCAGATCCTGCAGTACTCAGGGAAGTCTCTTGGCTCTGTGCTCAGGGGTCACCCCTGGCAGTGTTTGGGGAACTATAAGAAGTGCCAGGGATCAAACTGAGGTTTTCCACATTCAAGACAAATGCCTTAACGCCTGTACTCTCTGGCCCCCAATATACACTACCTTTTCCCTATAATATTCTCTATTGTAAATGGAATATACTTCCCCCAGTTCTTTCCGGGTGGAATCGTAGCAGTTTTTTTACTCTGGGCATATGGGATTTATTACAACCCTTGCCCACACACACTGAGACCAAGTTCCCTGCTTGATACTTGGAATTTGCCTGATTTTCTTGGAACTTGTCCAAGAGAGCTCCAAACAGTTCCTCTTTGGATCTTCATATATCAGAGTAAACCTGCCTCTAGGTTCACCCAAAGAACGACTAACTGGGGGCTGGAGCAATAGCACAGCGGGTAGGGCGTTTCCCTTGCACGTGGCCAACTCAAGTTCGATACCCAGCATCCCATATGGCCCCTGAGCACCACCAGGAGTAATTCCTGAGTGCACAGCCAGGAGTAAACCCTGTGCATCACTGGGTATGACCCAAAAAGCAAAACAAAACAAAACAAACTAACTGTCCAAGTTCTCTGCCTCGAGGACAGGGAACATCAGTGGAACCAATGAGTAATCAGAAAGAGCAACTCTCATAAATTATCCTGAGTCAGAGCAGAAACAACTGTATCTACAGATGAAAGTGAGCTGCAGGGAATGCTTTCTTGCCTCACCTGGCCTTCGGTCATATCGATTCCAGTGACATGTCCCTTCTCACCAACCAGCTGGCTAAGGGCATAGCAATCTCTGCCACTTCCACTACCCAGGTCCAGAATCCAGCAGTTTTCCAAATGCTCAGGCAGAACCAGACCACAGCCATAATACCTGAGGAAGCAAGAACACAGAGCTACATTTCTTTTCCCCACAAGAGACAACCTACAAGGCGTAGAATCACCAAGTTTTGTTTGTTTGCTTCGTTTCTAAACAAACAAATCGCCTGGTGGTGCTCAGTGCTTGGAGACCAGTCCTGGCAGTGCTCGGGGGACCTTGCCGAGCTGGGGACCTCAGGCCTGCTGTATGCAACGTGGCAGTAAGTTGCAGCCCCTGCGCCATCTCAGTCTCGGACCACCAAACCTTAGGTATCTTCCCTCCTCCCCATAGACCATTAATTTCTCTTCACTTGATTCATTTCCCCTTTAAACCAAAGGCTGCCTGAGTGCGGAGCCAAGAGCAGCGGGAAAATGAAAAACGAAACAAAAAATCATCAGCTGATAAATCCTGAAGAAGAGAACATCAAGCTAGTCAGTGTTGCTCTGAAGAGTGAGTGTAGTAGAGTGGGTATGTGTTCGTGGGGGAGGGGTGGTGAGAGCACTGTTTGGGAGGCAGGCTACTCTCATCAGAGTTGAGGGCCAGGCTCCAGTTCTGGGTTCCTTAAATGCAAAGCATGACCCTGCCTTCAGAGCCATCTCTCAGCCCTTCTTTGAAAGTGGTGTGTGTGTGTGTGTGTGTGTGTGTGTGTGTGCGCGCGCGCGCGCCCCCATTTTTTGTTGGTCATATCGCCTGGTGCTGCTCAGGGATTACTCCCGGCTCTATCCTTAGAAATGACTTCTGGTGCTCAGGGGACAATCTGGAACAATCTGGAATGCTGGGGATCAAACCCTGGCTGGCTGCGGGCCAGATCAGGGCCCTACCCGCTGTATACTCTCTCCAGCCCCTTCATCCAGGCTGAAGTGCTAAAGTTAGGTCAGGGCTGTGCCAGGTGTCTGCTGGGAGAGCCAGGGCACACCACTGGGTGGAGGCCCGGCAGCACTTCGGCGGCGGTGACGGCGGCGGCGGCTCTTCCAAGACAGGCGACTAACCTCAAGGTTACTTCCTCGTGCACATTCTGCAGCGCTTCTCGGATGTGCTTGGGCACCGGCCTGGCCGGGGTGACGCACGCGTTGGTCTGGAGATCCGCTGACTTCTTCAGCACCTTCCCGTAGTACGTCTGAGCCAGGGGTCGAGGCCAGGGAGTGGGGGGAGGGACAAGCCGGCGTCAGAAGCCTGCGGCCGGGCGCGGCCCCGCCCGGGCCCTGTCTGCGACCTCCGTCCCTGCGCCCCCGAGGGGTGGACAGAGTGTGGGGAGTGAGGGGGGCCAGCCCCGGCCCCCGCCCCCCATCCGAGGGTTACCGGCGCTCACCTTCACGGAATTCAGGATCTCGGCGTCTCGAGGGGCAGCCACTGCGGGGCAGGGGGACAAGGGGCAGGAAGGTGAGGGTTGAGCTGGGACTGGGGCCCGGGCGGCGGGGTGAGGGGGGCGCATACTTACTCTCCGCGTCCTTCGCCTTTCCCGCACTGGGACCCAATGGTGCTTATAGCGCCCGAAGCCCCGCCCGCGGCGGTGGCCAGACCCCTCCCCCCCACCGCGGCTGGCTTGCGGGCGCGGCTCGGCGGTGCCCATCGCCAGGTCCGCGCTACCCGCTACCCCCCCACACACAAACCCCACCTTGGTTCTGCTTCCGAGGAATCCCCAGGTCCAGCGCCTTTGGCCCGCCGGTTGTGGGATGCGTTTGACGAGCCCTGAAACTCGCCCTCTCCCAGGGCAAAGGGTTGTGCGTTCAAGACTCCCTCACCACCGTGCACGCTTGGCACGGGGTCCTGGACCCCCCCAAAGTGACTTCGAGGCCCCCAGCCGCCAACTGCCCTCCTTCCGGCCCTGCTGGCATAGCTCGGCAACATCCCGAAGAATCCGACGTGGCCTTTCTGGGTCTGCTCTGGACTGTATCTAGGGAGGCGATTTCGCTCACTGCTTTGGGGGAGAAGCGGGGCGCAAGACGCCCCCAGAGGCGCCAGGAAGGCTGGCAGCCGGGCAGAGCTGTCAATGCCAGGGCAGGAGGAGGCCGTGCTACTTCCCTTCCCACTTCCTTCTTCCTCTTGTGGCTTTTTCTTTTTTCTTTCTTTCGGCCTTTGAGGTGCATTCTGCGGTGCTCAGGGCATGCCCCTCACTCCACGCTCAGGGATCCCTCCTGGTGGAAATCCGGGACCATATATATGCGGTGCCAAGGATGGCTACAATTGCACCACAAGCAAGGGACCCGGCTGTGCCATCACTCTGCCCACCCCAACCCGCCCTCCACTCGATATTTTAACCTCAGAGTTCGCCCTTGCATCTCAAATTTTTCAAAACCTTTTGTACCGCAGGGGCTGGAGAGGTAGTACAGCAGGCAGGACGCCTGGCTGGCATGCAGCCATCCCAGGTTCAGTCCCTGGCACCCCATACGGTCCCCTGGGAACCGCTAGGTGTGGATACTCAGGGATACTAGGGGGTATCCCTGAATGCAAAGCCAGGAATAGGCCCTGATCACTGGCAGGTGTGTTCCTAACACAAAACAAAAAGTTTGTTATGGCTATGGAAGGGGGCCACTACCAGCGGTTCAGGGGCTATTCCTGTTGTGCTCAGGAGTCCACACACACCATCAGGATTAGAACTGGGGTCCATGGGACACAGGGCAAGAATCTTAACCCCTGTATTGTCTTTCCAGTGCGTTTTACTTAATTACCATTTTTATTGAGATATCAGAATCTACAACCAGCTTTTTCCAACATCACCCCTGTTAAATACAAGCAATTCTACATAGATGGGTATACTATGGGACCAAGTTAGGGCACTCACCATTTAAAAAATTAGATAAGCTAATCTCCTGAAGCTACACAATTAAACTTATATAGAAACAGGGGCAGGTGACTGAAGTCAGTCGCTTCCAAGATTCCTTCATGTGTTGCTCCATGCTAGGGACAACAGGAAACAGTGGGGTTCCTATTTATATCAAGGAATTAGCAGGGAACACTGACAAGTGTTCGCCAACTGACCCTCAAACTCGATGGAAGGGCTGGATAAGTTGGGTCTTTTGGGCCACAGCTGGCGATGCTCAAGGATCACTCCCGGAAGTGAGCAGGGGACGATCTGGGATGACAGGAATTGAACCTGGGTTGGCTGCTTTCAAGGTAAACTCCCTACCTGCTGGACTACCCTGGGGAAGTATTTTATCTGACCCTGGAGAAGTGATTTTATCATCTGTAAAACATGTGGTCAGAATGTAAACACTGAGCCTCACAGTTCTAATATTTTATTCTGGCATTCTTCGTTGTTCTTCAAAGATTTTGTTGGTGCTTTGTCTTTAAAAATAGTTAGAGAAGGGTGGCCAGAGGAAAACTGGGGACACTGGAGGTGGGATATGCATATTGGTGAATGGACAGATGTTGGAACATTGTATAACTGAAACCCAATCATTAACCAATTTGTAACTGTGTATCTCATGGTTTCAATAAAAATCTTCTTAAAAAGAGAAAGAAATTATCACTGAAAAGGCCTTTTGAAATTTCAGTTATGGAGCAAAAAATAACCTGTGGGAGCTATATTCATTTTGCTCGAGGGACCTTGTGCCATGCCAGGGATTAAACCCCTGTCAACCACATGCAAGGCAAGTTCCCTACCTACAGGACTAATTCTGTGCTGCCCAGCTCTTAGAAACATTCTTAAGTGTGACTTAGAAACAGAAGTTAAATAGAAAAGAAGCAGGGGCCAGAGAGACAGCACAGAGGTTAACACACTTTCCTTGCAGTAGAAGGGTTGACCTGGTTCCACAAATGGTCTCTCGAGCAGAGTCAGGAGTAAGTCCTAAGCACAGTCAGGTGTGGCCCCAGAACAAATGACGAACCAACCAAAAGTATAGATGTCGAATTTTTTCAAACAGCGTTTTCGATGTAAATCAGGGGCAGTTCATTATTTCCTAGTAATGAACTGTGTTTTGCAGTTGCTGTCAAGCATTTCTTTATAGAATTATTTTAGCAATGTTTCAAAATAGGCAGTGTTTTTAAAGACTTTATTAGGATTTTTCACCTATAGGTTCAAAAAAAAATTTGCTACATAGTCTTGTGCCATCTTATTTTATTTTCCCCCCTTGTTTTGGTTTCTGTTTTAGGGTCACACCTGCCAGTGCCCAGGAACTGCTCCCAACTCTGCGCATGGGTGACCATGTAATGCTACAAACTGAAGGCTGGGTTCTTGCATGCAAGTCCTCACTTTTTTGTTTTTGTACTGAAACACACACTTGGGCAAATGAACTGAATATCATACTATCCTTTTCTATACTTTAGGAGTATATGGAATAGAACTGGCTTTAAGAGTTATCTTTCTTTTACAGAAAACACTTTTTTTAAAGTTAGCTTTCTTTACTTTTATTAAGTAAACTGAATTTGAACAGGATAGACTCTCATTTTAAAACCAAACAATGAAGAACTTACTCCTAGACTAAGTTCCTTCCTGGTTGGGGAATTTCCTTTTTTCTCCTTCTACTCTCCAATAAACCTTTCTATTTAAAAATAAATAAATAAAACGTAAATAATGTTTAGCTACGTCAGTGACCATGGGGTTTCTTGTCTACAAACACAAGGTTTTAACCATGGCCCAACCCTCATAACAGCTATCATTCAACTTTCTTGGCACTATCATCCAAGTAAATTTGCTGATGAATAGCTGAATTACAAAATGAACCCAAGGCCAGTGAATCAAGATTCACAACATCCCCCAGGAATGTAGGTCAAGGTAGGGACTGCAGCTGGCCGGACATTATATCATTTGACTAATTTTTCTTTGGAACTTTGCTACAATGAAGAAAGCAAGTCACTTTCTTTGACAGGTTAAAGATTTAAAAACAAACAAACAAACAAAACAAACAACCAGGATTGCCCAGTACCATGAGGTTAACGAGTTCTTGTTAGAATGGTGAGAAAGGGCAAAGTCTGTAGAGATTATCGATCCTTCTTATATGTTCACAATAAAACATTACTAAATTTTAACTAATGAAAGTAAAACATTACTAAATGTTTGCTTAGGAATCAGTTTAGGGCTGGGGCTGTTGCTCAGCCATAGCATGCAATTATCTTCATTTTGCTTGCATGGCAAAATAGCAAAACCACTTATAACATCCAATAAGAGGGCCAGAGAGACAGTACGGCAGGTAAGGCACTTACCTTGCCAACAGTCAACCCAGACGCAACCCCTGGCACCGTATCTGGTATCCTAAGCAGTGCCAGGACTGAACACTGCCAGGTGTGGCCCAAAAACTAATAAATAAAAAGCATAAAAAGATACAGTACAATAGTACAGTGTGGGGGATGCCTGCCTAGCACATACTTGGCCAACCTGGGTCCAGCATCCCAGATGGTCCCCTGAGCACCGCCAGGAATAATCCTTGAGCGCAGAGCCAGGAGAAACCCTGAGCACTGCTGAGTGTGACCCAAAAAAAGCAAAAAGCAAAAAAAAAAAACAAAACAAAACAAAACAAAAAAACCCAAGTACCTAAAGTACCTAACTTCTTTCAGAAGAAACTAAGAAACTATACATCATGACCAATCTTGTCTACTTAAACTCTGGAGAAGGCAGGGAAAGCAACACACAGCAGGTACTGTAAGAGGTTGAGCCTCCACAACCAAGGCCCCGAAGCATCTCTGCCCTCTGATCGGCCGTTTTACTTTAACAGATGATTCAACTGGTCCTGGAGATCCGATGACTGCTCAACACTACAAGTCAAAACAGAGCAAAAGATTTGGCATGAACTGAGAACTGAGAAGACATCTCTGTGGATAATCTACTTGTACTCTAAAGCTAAGAACTATACAATTATGTAGAAACTTATATTGATCCATGAGGATCCTAGGGGTGCTTAAACTTTGAGGAAAACGCTTTGTAGGGCCTGGGGGTTGCTCAGCAGACCACAGCTGCTTTGCACGTGTGAGGTTCCGGAATCAATCCATGGCTCAGCAAGGAAAGGAAAAGGTTTATGATGCCAGTTGATATCTTGCAAGGAACAGATTTACCGTACTGAAAGAAAACAAAACAAAACAAAACAAAAAAAAACAAGGGGCCAGAGAAATAATACAGGGTTCAGACGCTTGCCTTGATTAAGGCCAACATCACTGCAACCTCCAGCACTGAATATAGTCCCCAGGCATTGCCAGGAATGATCCCTGAGCTAAGAATCAGGAGATGTGGCTCAAAAACCAAATCAAACCAAACCCAACAAAATTATTTAAAGACTTGGGACATTTATTTTACTTAATAAATATTCCCAGCATAAAAAGTTTTCTCTTCCTATATCTCACTACATCCCCACTTTTAGAAAGCTTTTACTTACTGCTGGCCTTCGTTTTCTTTTTTAAATATTTAGGGGGGGAGGGGACATCGGGGATTTTAGGCATCATCTGGCTGTGCTCAGGGATCACTCCCTGTGGTGCCTGGGGGAACATGCAAGTCCCCCAATGCCTAGGGATCAAACCAGACACTTCCACATGCCAAGTGTACGCGCCAACCATTTGAGTTATCTCCCTGGTACCTTGTGGGTTTTTTTTTGGGGGGGGGGTGGGAGGGAAAGTTGGTTGGTTTATTTGCTTGTTATTTACAGTGCTGGGGATCAACGTCTGGACCACACTAACATATGAATCTCAGAAGAGAGCAGCACACTGCAGAGAGGTCTCCCATGACACGCAAGGCTGATTTCACCGGGCACTTCAGAGAGGGGGGACAGGTGTGTCCTTCCACTTGCCCCAAAAGAACCCTGGCAGCAGCAACCCTCTATGATCCAGATTCACAAATGAATCTCGGAAGAGAGCAGCATGCTGCAGAGATTTCTCCAGATCCCAAATCACCAACCAGTTAAAAATATTATATATATATTTTTGGGGCTGGAGTGATAGCACAGCAGGTAGGGCGGTTGCCTTGCACGTGGCCGACCTGGGTTCGATTCCCAGCATCCCATATGGTCCCCTGAGCGCCACCAGGACTAATTCCGGAGTTTAGAGCCAGGAGTAACCCTGTGCACCACTGGGTGTAACCCAAAAAGCAAAACAAGTAAAAAAAATTTTTTTAAACATATATATTTTTAACTCAACCAGTTAAAAAATTATATATATATATATATATATTTAACTCCTGTTCTAGCACCCTATGAAAAATTGCAGAATTCCAGGACATTTACTACAATTATGCTACTGATATACCAAGAGTAGCATACCACATTTGATAGGGTGTAAGGTAAAGACAACTGATCTTGAGAGAGATATATATATAAATATATATATAGATACACATAAGTACACAAGACTCAAACTCTAACAACATGTTAATGATCTCTAATTCAGGGGCTTAATGGCTCCAAATGAGACGCAACAATTTTCACACACTTTCCTCTAAGGAAGCCTTTTAGTCAATTATCCAAAACAAGAAATACAAAATTATTTAGCATCTGCCTTTGGGGGTGGGAAAACATGAAATAAAAGTGGTGGGAAGGTGTAATGGTGATGGGATTGGTGCTGAAATATTGAATGTAATCAATAACTATGAATAACTCTTTGAAAAAAATTAAATCAGTAAAAAGCCAGGACCTCACACATGCAAGGAAAGTGCTGCACCATGGAGCTACATCCAGGCCTCCATGTCTTTGAAACATATTTTATTCTTTATATCCTCAATGTCTATCCCAGGGAATGAGCTGATTTAAGGGCACATATTAACCAAGGTTTTGTACTAATCCCAGGCTAAGCAGCACAACTGCCCCTAGACTACTTGAGTTGATCCCTTACTTCCCGACCTTCTTGAGGTTACTTACTTTTTCTGAATAGCTTCTTGCCTAAATCAGAAAAGGAAAGAGGAAAATCAAACAGAGAAAAACTCAGTGAACTAGCAGAAGCTATTTACGGCCAGCGAGAAAGAGGCAGAACAAACTTCCAGCTGATGCCATATTCTGTACCCCTATCCATCCTACCCTGAGCCGGGGGCTGGAGAGATAGCACAGCGGGTAGGGCGTTTGCCTTGCACGCGGCCGACCCAGGTTTGATTCCCAGCATCCCATATGGTCCCCCGAGCACCGCCAGTAGTAATTCCTGAGTGCATGGGCCAGGAGTAACCCTGTGTATATCACCAGGTGTGACCCAAAAAGCAAAAAATAAAATAAAATAAATAAACCCAAACTGCAATAATACTTTATCAGAGTTAACAAACATGACCCAACACACTATAGGCAGGGATCAAAGACAGTCTGGGCTTGGGGAGTCAATGTTTGCATATTGATAGGTATATGCCCCAAGCAAGCCATTTATTTATTCTAGTTTTCTGCAGTGCCTGGGGTTGAACCCAGATCTCGTGCATGAGTCAAATCCCCAGATATGTCAAGAGTTACATTCTGAATCAAATTTTTCCTTTCCTTTTCTTCCCCCCTATTTTTTGTGCCATACCTGAAAGTGCTCAGGGCTCACTCCTGGCTCTGTGCTCAGGGATCATTCCTGATCTATCCATACTCCTGATCTATACTATCATTCTGCCCCCGCATAAAATCTTTTCTAACAGGTATATAAGTAGAAAACTGCTACCTCAGATATACGATGACATATTGTGACAAGCTGGTTAAATTACAATTTTATCCAAAATGATAATGGAGAAGGGACCGATATATTCCAAATTTCCTGGTGGGTTTTTTTTTTTTTAAATTTTAATTTTTTGCTTCTGGGGTCACACCCGGCGATACACAGGGGTTACTCCTGGCTCATGCACTCAGGAATTACTCCTGGCAGTGCTCAGGGGACGATATGGGATGCTGAGGATCGAACCTGGGTTGGCCGTGTGCAAGGCAAACGCCCTACCCGCTGTGCTATCGCTCCAGCCCCGTCCTGGTGGGTTTTATCCCAAGCTAGGACTGCGTTCCATGGGGGACTGTGGCCTTTGTTCCCCCGTGAAAGAGCAGATGCCCCTGAAGAGATCTGAGAACAATGAAAAATGCTGACTCAGTGCCTCCTGGGTGCCAAACACTCTGCATGCCCTGTCCTGGCATGGCCTTGGCCCTGAGTGGGTTTCCGGTCTCTCTCATGAGGGGCCTCAGGAAGGCAGAGGTGCACTGAAACACAGTCTGAAGGCAGAGGTTTACCACCCCGATCCCGAGTCCTCTGGACTGTCACCCAGTATTGTTTGGGAGCTACTCCCAGCTCTGAGGTCACTTGGGCCGTGCTCAGTGGGAGCAAGCAGGGCGGGGATGGGTCCCAGCGCTCCAGCCCTCTGGGGCCTCTCTCCCAGAGGGAAACCATTCACGACCCTCCCTCCCAACCTGGCTAAAGCACAGGGGCAGCAAGTCACTGGGGGATGGGGGTGGGAGGGGTGGGGAGAGGGGAGGAATTCCACGCAAGGACGCAGTGCAGAGAGCACTTATACTCACTGGTACTGAAGATGTGTGGTGATGATGGACATTTTCCTTAAGCTCTAAATCAAAGAAAGGTAGAGACAAGCAGTGAAACAGAACATTCCTCCTTCCTAAAATGCATTCTAAAATGCAAGCGCGGCACATTTTATTTTATTTATTTATTTATTTATTTATTTTATTTTTGGATCACATCTGGCGATGCACAGGGGTTACTCCTGGCTCTGCACTCAGGAGTTATCCCTGGCGGTGCTCAAGGGACCACATGGAATGCTGAGAATCCAACCCTTGTCAGCTGCGTGCAAGGCAAAAGCCCTACCCGCTGTGCTATTTCTCCAGCCCCAAGCGCAGCACTTTTTTTTTTCCTTGTGTACATGTCTTCCACCTCCTGGATAAATTTATTTCTAGATCTCATTCTTTTTAATGAAACTGCAATGGAATTGTTTTTCTGAATTTGCTTTTGCTGTTCACTATATTATACATTGCATAACACATTTGCTAATACATTATATTTATCTATACTGATTTTTGAAATGTGCTAATTTCTTATTTCTATTACCTTTTTCTGGTCTCTTTTGGGATTTTTTCCTGTAGATTATCATGGCATCTACTTATAAAGACAGTTACACATTTCTTTTTTTTTCTTTTGCTTTTGGGGTCACACCTGGCGATGCACAGGGGTTACTCCTGGCTCTGCACTCCGGAATTACTCCTGGCGGTGCTCGGGGGACTATATGGGATGCTGGGAATCGAACCCTGGTCGGCCGCATGCAAGGCAAACGCCCTACCGCTGTGCTATTGCTCCAGCCCCCACATTTATTTTCGATTGGATTCTTTTGATTTTCTTTTCTTTATTCAATTGTTCTGTGATTTCCAACACTGTGTGAATAACAGTGGTGAGAGTAAACAGTCTTGTATTTGTGTTTATCTTAGAGGAAAAACTTTTAGTTTTTGACTGATAAGTATGCTATTAGCTATGGGTTTGTCATATATATAACATTAAGGAAAGTTTCTTTTATTTTTTATTTTACCCAGGACCATGGGTTGGAGCAATAGCACAGCGGGAGGGCGTTTGCCTTGCACGTAGCCAACATGGTCGACCCGAGTTCGATTCCTCTGCCCCTCTCGGAGAGCCTGGCAAGCTACCGAGAGTATCTCGCCCGCACGGCACAGCCTGGCAAGCTCCCCGTGACGTATTCGATATGCCAGACACAGTAACAACAAAGTCTCCAATGGAGACGTTACTGGGCCCGCTCGAGCAAATCGATGAACAACGGGAGGACAGTGACAGTGACAGTGACCCAGGACCATTTTTATAACGGTTTTTTAATTTTAAAAATGTTTTCTGTGCCTCTATTTAGATGGCAGTATTCCTTTTCTGAGGTAGTGAATGGACATGATTGATTCTTCCATGCTACAATAAAGCACAGCACATTTTAGAGATTCCAAAGCACAAAAGGAATTCATTCTTACGTCTTCTGAGCGCAAGATGGCATCTTCCTGGAGCACCATGTTCCGAGCTGCCTGACCCAGCAGCTGGAAGACACAAACCAAAGGGTGATCATCAAAGTCTCCAACCCTCCAAGCCCTCCCCACATGGTCACAGACCCCACCGCCGCCACCCTCCTCCCCACCCCACACACGTGGCAAACTCAAAATGCCGCAGGGCAGGACTTCCTGCGTGTTTGCCTGCGGGATCCAGTTCAGTGCGACAGTGGCAGTTCTGGCCTGGGCACAACCTCTGCCCACTGGCCACTGCCCCCAATCCAGAGCAGCTGCCCACACGGCATGCTTACTTGTCAGGTGCCCAGGGAAGACAGCAAGATACCTTGGCCCCTCACCAAGTGCCAGCCTCTCTTTAGGCTCTTTCTGGGAAAATTTGCGAGTGGGGCTGTTTGGGAAGGAATGAAGGAGTGGGCATTAGGGTAGAAATGGAATGAGACTGAGACTGGGCTCAAAGAGCTAAGACACGCTTTGCAAGTTGGAAACCTGAGTTTGATCCCCAGCACTAGACGGTCCCCCTCGCTACCTAGCACTGAGCCTGGAGCACTGAGTCAAGAGTACCCCAGCACCACAAGGTGTGACCCCCAAATTAGTAAGTTAAAAAGAAAAAGAATGAAAGACAGAGTTGAAGAGGCCTGGGAAGCACCATGAAGGGCGGCTTGGGAGACGGCTTGATGAGAAGTGTGGAAGCGTATTTGTGAGGGTGGGGGTCAGGGGAGCAGAGTGTTAAGGGGCTTGGGGACAAACCCCGGGACCTGGTGGTACCGGGGATTAAACCTGAGTCTCCCACATGCAAAGCCTGTGTTCAGGGCTTTGACCTATCTCTCCAGCACACTAAGCAGATAAGAATGAGTTCACTGATACCAGCCACTATGTTCTGATTTACCCAGTCACCTGTGACTTAGCAGTACTGGAGTCAGCACAGAGGCAAGAACAAATCAAAGCTCTGATTTACCAGGTCACCTGTGACTCAGCAGTATTGGAGTCAGCATAGACGCAAGAAATCAAAGCTCTGATTTACCCAGTCACCTGTGACTCAGCAGTACTGGAGTCAGCAAAGGCAAGAAGAAATCAATAGCAGAAGGACCAGAGACACAGTATGCGGGCAGAGTACTTGCCTTGAACATGGCCAATCCAGGTTCCATGCCTGGGTTGCACCCTCAAGTCCCACCAGAAGTGATCCTTGAGTGCAGAGCCAAGAGAAAGCCAAGCATGGCAAGATGGACCCACCTGTAGGATAACATTGGTTTGTCCTTTCTGCCTTGCCACAGGGAGCTTAGGTTTACTGGGTTAGTCCCATAGCAGTGCTCCCATTCCTCTGCGTTTACTTCTAACTTTTTTCTTTGTGCTCTGTTGACTTGTAAATATTGCTTTTCTCTTTTCCTTAAGTCCTTTGCAGAGTGAATTGAGAACAATGTCCTTTTTGTATGGACACAAGAAGACAGCTAACGCTATGATTTTTATAACTTGGGAATTAATTGACTCTGAATGATATTTTCCTCCTGGACATCTGTTCTCTCGATTTAAGCCTCAGTTGCCTTTACTTCCTAGTACCCCAAAAGCAGGGTCTGGATGAGGGACTGGATGGACCCAGGGCAAGCTGTGAGCTATGTGCTACCCTGGCATCAAAATGGGCCTGGCCAAAGTGCCATACTGCTTAACTATAAGTTAAGAGCATGGTCATGGACAAGTGCTGTCATGATCCAAAAAGTAATAGCTAGATTCGGACCCTACTAGGGTTAGTAAAGATTAATCCGGCCTGAGCAAAGTAGTCTGAGTCTGTGGCAAGATGTCCCAGGAGAGCCACCCTACAAGCTCAATGTACCTCTTACTGTGTCCATACAAAATCACAACATTAAGAAGTAGAATTAAGGGTCTGGAGCAATAGCACAGCAGGTAGAGCGTTTGCCTTGCACGTGGCAGACCCAGGTTCGATCCCAACATCCCATAGGGTCCCCTGAGCACCACCAGGGGTAATTCCTGAGTGCAGAGCCAAGAGTGAATGAACCCTGTGCATTACCAGGTGTGACCCAAAAAAAAAAAAAGTAGAATCAAGATGTTAATTAAGATGTTGATAGAAAGTTATTGGACTAAGAAGAGGAACACCCCTAGGGCATGGTTCCACCCTTGAGCCTGACAGGAGGACAGGAAGGGCTTTCTTATGTTGATTTTGCTACCTGATGGGTTATAGCATCTACCCCCCCCCCACCCCCAGTGCTGGAGAGTTGGAGAGAGCAGGGCAGCAAGATGGAGCACAGAGAGACTAGCAAGGGGGACAGAGGAAGAAGAATGTAGGGAAAGAATGAGGAGCTGGCACGTGGAGAGAGAGAGCCCAGGTTGCGAGATGGAGGGTGGAGAGACAAGCGGTAAAGACAGGAGACAGGAATGAGGGGCAGTGTGAGACTAGAACGGGGGGGCTTAGTGAGACTGGAACAGGCGCGTGGGGAGAAAGGAATAAACGGCGACTGATTATCAACCGGCTTGGCCCTCGCTTCCTCCTCTGTCTGCCCCATGGCCTGGGCCGCTCCAGGTCCGGGAGTCCAAGAGAGAGCCGCCAGGGCCTTCCCTAGCCTTGCGGAAACTATACACCCACCCACTTCCACCAAGTTAACAGCGGTTTTAAAATCTTACAAGTGAGACTTTAGAAATAAATCTTCTGGAGCAATAGTAAGTAAACAGCAATAGTAAGTAAACAGCATGTAAGGCGTTTGCCTTGCACGCGGCCGACCTGGGTTCAATTCCCAGCATCCCATATGGTCCCCCCATCACCGCCAAGAGTGATTTCTGAGTGCAAAGCCAGGAGTAACCCCTGAGCATTGCCGGGTGTGACCCAAAATGCAATATATATATATATATATATCTTCTGTAGCTATAGGAAAGCAAATTCAATTTCTGTTTAAACTAGTAATCCAAAGTATGTGTGGGGGCTGGAGCAATAGCACAGCGGGTAGGGCGTTTGCCTTGCACACAGCTGACTCGGGTTCGAGTCCCAGCATCCCATATGGTCCCCTGAGCACCGCCAGGGGTAATTCCTGAGCGCAGAGCCAAGAGTAACCTCTGTGCATTGCTGGGTGTGACCCAAAAAGCAAAAAAAAAAAAAAGTATAATGTGTGCCCTGTTTCTAGCAGACTTAAAGTCGCCACATTTGAATTAGTAATTTAAACACAGTAGCCCATCTATTAAGCTACTGTTACATGTGCCCCATCAAGTTTGCACTATCTCTGTAGATCAAAGATTCTAGGCAAAAAGGGGAACTGTTAACAGTCCCCCAATTTCTTTCTCCAAGGCAACTTTTATTTCCTTTTGAACTTAAGCTTTAAAACAAATAAGCCTTTGCATATATCTTAAGTCAAAATAATAAATAAGATCGCCATCCCTGGCCTCTCCTGGCCCCTCTTGTTCTCTCATGCATAGATTTTTTTTATTTGCTTTCGGTTTAGCTTTCCATTGATCCTTTTTAAAGCAAAGGAGCAAAGGAATCTAAGAAACAGAACGACCGAAATTGTGACCAGAAGGGAGAGTGAGAAAATAATAGGGGAAGTAGGGTTGAGGAGGTAGTGCAAAGGACTGATTCCGGCTTCACATGAAGAATCTTAATCTCCTCTGCACCTCCCCACCCACCCTGAGAATGACACCCTAAAACACCAATAATTGTGGCCTCAAAACCCTCCCCAAAGTGTATGAGATCTGGGACGTTAAAAGCATGCGAAACTTGGGAGCCAGGAAGAGGCGTTCGTTTACTAGGAAAAACCACGAGAACCAGGTTAGGGACCGGTTAGGACCTGGTTCTCCCGTGGTCCCTGCCTGAAATCACCGACTCCCATGGCTCCCCCCACACACACCCCGAAGACTACATTTCCCAGAATGCAACTCGCACCCGGCGCCGACCAGCACGCCAGTCCGCAAGTCGGTTTCGCAGCCTCCGATTCCCAGGATGCAACGCGACGCCCTTCCCACGGCCCCGCGGGACGAGGAAGCGCCCGGCCGATGGGTCCGGGAGAGGCGGCGCGTAGCTCACCTCCGAGCTCCGCGAGCCCTTCAACACCTGTTTCGTGAGCGCGATCACGTCAGTCCCACAGGTGTTGACCTTCTCCGTGAGGAGCCCCTTCACGGACTGGCCGAAGCGCGCTTGCGAGTCTGGCGTCCCCGTCGCCATCGCCTGGGCAAGGAACCGCCCTCGCACCAGCGACGGCGCGTCGCAGGGCCAAAAGAGCTGCAGGGCAGAAGGCAGGGACAGCTTCGGGATGTGGGTTTTTTTTTTTTTCTGCTGTGGGAAAAGAGAGCGGACGCATGCGCATAACGGAGCTTGCGCTCTGCCTTTTTTTTTTTTTTTTTTTGCCTTTTGGGTCACACCCGGCGATGCACGGGGGTTACTCCTGACTCATGCACTCAGGAATCACTCCTGGCAGTGCTCGGAGGACCATATGGGATGCTGGCAATCGAAACCGGGTCGGCCGCGTGCAAGGCAAGACGCCCTACCCGCCTTGCTATTGCTCCAGCCCTGCTCTGCTAACTTTTAAATTCCTTCAAAATACTCAGTTGATTGACATCGTGATGGAAGAAAACGGGTCCAGATAAAACGTCGCCGGAGAGGATAAAGGACAGTTTTAGTCATCCCAGGGCCCAGAGTCAAAGGCGCGGAAGAGAGTCCCAGTTCAGTCATTTAATTGTGTGATCGCTCATTACCTCTGGGGTTTCTGTGGAAGAGAAGCAATAGCATGAAAGTATACTAAGTGTTAACGGGAATTAATCAATGTCGTGCAGTTCAGCTTTAACAAACATTTCATTAACTGCTTAGTCACTGCTCTGCGCTGATCACATGGAAATAAACGAGTTACCATCCTTCTTTCCAAGAAACGCCCAGGTTGATAAAGCTTGTCACCAGAGCCAACTATTGGTGAAGGTCACAAACAAGCATTGGCGTCCAGAGCGCGGGCTTTGGGCCCAACGCAGCACCAGGGATAGAACTGTGCGTTGTGAGGCCCAAGGTTTTGTTTTTTTTGTTCCGTGTGTGCGTGTGTATGTTTTGTTTTGTTTGGAGGCCACAACAGAAAAAGTGCGCAGGACTTACTCTTGACTCTGCTCAGAGATTTTCTCCTGGTGGGGCTAGGGGGACCATATGGGGTACCAAACCAGGGGCAGCTGCATGCAAGGTGAGCTTACCTGTTATACTCTCACTCTGGCTCCTTTTCGTCCTCTTAACAGTGGATTTCTCCAGGCAGCTTTACTTTTGTATGAAGTCTGACTCATCAGGATTTTTGTTGTTGTTGTTGTTCACTTATCCCTTTCTCTTTTGTTTTCCTGAGTCATGCTTATAAGGTGTTTATCTTTTTTTGTTTTGTTTTGTTTTTGTGGGGGAGTCACATCTGGCACTCGCTGCACAGGGGTTCCTCCTGGCTCATGCACTCAGGAATTACCCCTGGTGGTGCTCAGGGGACCATATGCGATGCTAGGAATCGAACCTGGGTCAGCTGCGTGCAAGACAAACGCCCTACCCACTGTGCTATTGCTCCAGCCCCATAAGGTGTTTATCTTTAAAAAAAAAAAATGGCGGGAACCAGAGCAAGACAGTAAGCAAGATACAACAAGCAAGATAGTACAGCAAGCAAGATAGCACAGCAAGTTAAGATAGTACAGCAGCTGAAAGTAGACTATAGATCAAACATGATTGTCACCCATTGCCTCTTTTGCAAACCACAACACCCAATAAGAGAGAGAACAAAAAGGAATGCCCTGCCACAGAGACAGGGGGGAATGGTGGGAATGGGGAGTGGGAGGGATACTGGGATCCGTAGTGGTGGGAAATGGGCACTGGTGGAGGGATGGGTATTTGATCATTGTATAATTGAAACCCAAGCACAAAAATTTGTAAGCCTACAACTGTACCTCATGATGTCTCACTAATAAAAATTTAAAAAAAAAAAAGATAGTACAGCAGCAATTACTTGCAGTCAACCTTGTTTGTTCCTGGTACAGCATATGGTCCCCTGAGCCCTGAGCACAGCCAAATGTGGCTCAAAAAGGAAACATTGGTAAGACGGTGCCAGAGAGATAGGTCAAGCAGCAGAATGCAACCTGAGTTCAATCCTGGCACTGTGTGCGCCTCTCCTCAGCACCCGCTGACAGCCCTGGGGGCCACAGCACCACTGGGCATGGCCCCTTTAAAAAAATAAAAATGAAATCTTGTCTTGCATGCAGCCAACCCAGGTTCAATTCCCAGTACCCCAAATGGCCCCTAGTCACACCCAGGAGGGATCCTAAATGCAGAGCCAGGAGTGAGCCCTGAATATCACCAGGTATGAACCCTCTCCCGAAAGAACCAAGAGATGAATGGATAATACAGTTGTTAAGGCACTTAACTTGCATGCTCTCTAACCCAGGTTCCAAGCCCTACCAATCCATATGGTCCCCTGAGCTCATGGAGGGCTCATTTCTCAGCACAGAACCTCAAATAGCCCTGAGCACCATGGGGTAGCCCGAACTTGACCACACCAAATAATAATAAAAATAATTTTTTAAGTTATTATTTTTGTTTGAGGACCACCGCTGGTGGTGCTCAGGGGCAAATCACATTGCGTTGCTCAGAGGGTTACTCCCAAGAGTGTTCAGGAGACCATCAATGGAAGTCCGGCCTCCTGCCTGAAAAGCAGGCACTCCAGCCCAGTGATTTTTTTTTCCTTGACCCTGAAAACACTTCGTTAAATGACTCCAATTTTTCAACTCTGCTGTGACAGATGTAGCCCTGATCAAGGATGAAGCGGCAAAGGAGCTGCCTTTGGGGGTATAAAGTCAGCGTCTGAGGCAAGCCCACCATCTCTGACGAAACCACAGGGCTAAAAAAGAAAGATTCTGGTCAGCTTAATCAGTCCAGCTGAGAGCTGATTCCCCAGTAGGCTGGTCTCCTGGCGCAGGCTGGGTCCGAAAGGTCAAGAGCAGAGACTCAGGGCGAAGTCAGATGCATGGAGGCGACAGTGATGGACATCATCAGTGGAGTCCTTCATTTCCAAATTCTCTACCGGTCAAGAACAGCGCCTCTTTGTTAGATGCCAGATATTGGTAATAAAACCTTGAGATTTTATTGGCAATTAAAACCTTGAGGGGGTAAGATAAGTTGAGGAAAATGTCCATGGAGAAGAGCCAAGGACAGGCCCCTAAAGAACCTTGACATGCCTGAGACTGTACAAGCAAGAAGAAGAGAAAGAATCGCAGCAAGAACTGTGCAAGATTTTATTGTAGAGGGTTCCGAGTAGGTCCAAAAAATCTTTAGTGGCTGGAGAGATAGCACAGCAGGTGCGGCGTTTGCCTTGCATGCAGCCAACATGGCCAACACAGGTTCGATTCCCAGCATCCCATATGGTCCCCTGAGCACCGCCAGGGGTAATTCCTGAGTACAGAGCTAGGAGTAACCCCTGCGCATCGCCGGGTGTGACCCAAAAAACAAACAAAAACAATCTATAATGCCAAGAAAGATTGTTTTTGCAGCCAAAGGGGTTGAGTGACACCTGGCAGGGCTCAGGGCCTAGTCCATATTCTCTCAGGCATGACCCTGGTGTCATCCTTGATGTTGTTAACGAGAGCCAATGGCCATCAACAGTGTAGCAAGGCAAGAGCCTTACCTCTTCCCTACTTCCCCACCCCAAACAACAGGGAGTTTTTATGAGAGGAGTTCCCAAAAGATTTAGCAATACGCAGTAATTGCTGACTTTGGTAAAGGCCATTCCACGTGAACTGAGGCCAAAGGTCAAAATGCAATGAAGGTTCAAAGAAAAGAGATGAAGAAATGAATGTCTATAATGTGGTACCTCCAAAAAGTCTGGTTGAAAAAGAAAAGGGAGAAGCCATTCAAAATCACTCTTCCAGGAATTGGAGAGAGTACAAGGCTTAAAGCACGCGCCTTGCTCATGACTAACCCTGGCTCAATTCCTGGGATCACAGATGGTCCTTCCTCTGGGCACTGTATGTGTATATGATCCCCCAAGCACCACCAAGAGTGACCGAGCATGTTGAAGTGACCCAAACAAATATGTATATGTGATCTTTCACTAACAATTTCACTTTCAGGATTTTATTCCAAGAAAATATTAATAGTTACGCTCTAAGGTTTTAGTACAAAGGCTATTCCTTGTGTTGTTTTTATCAACAACTAAGAAAAACAGAAACAACCTGAATGAATGTCCAATATAAGATCAATTAAACTATCACAGGACTAGAGGGATAGTACAGGAGTTCAGGTACTTGCTTTGCTTCCTGAGTTCGATATCTGGCAACCCGTATGGTCCCCTGAGCCCCGCCAGGAGTGATTCTTGAGTGCAGAGATGGAAGTAAGCCCTGAGCATTGCCTGATGTGCCCCCACCATGTAAAAAATCCCTTCCCCAAACAAATCTTAAAAAAAATTTTCAAGAAGCATTTTCTGAGTTGTCAAGTGACACAGGTTAGTAACTTACGTTTCTTGAAAATTTGTAATAAGAATTTGACTTTAGTTTCAATGGACCCAACTCCACATCTTTTGAACATTCCCCTGCTCACTGCCGTACCATTATAATAATAAATAAATAAAGGCCCTCCCGTTGATCGTCGATTTGCTCGAGCGGGCCCAGTAACGTCTCCATTGGAGACTTTGTTGTTACTGTGTCTGGCATATCGAATACTCTCGGTAGCTTGCCGGGCTCTCCGAGAGGGGTGGAGGAATCGAACTCGGGTCGGCCATGTTGGCCGCGTGTAAGGCGAATGCCCTACCACTGTGCTATCACTCTTCAGATCGTATAAATCTTTCGCCATACCATTCCAGAGATTAATCTCCAACCTTTACACCCAACCTCTGCCACTTCACAGGCCCAATTCCACATCTCATGGAATTTCACAGGGCTTACAGTTATACTTCCTTGCACTGAGTGAGGACAGGCAGGGCGAGAGAAGAGCAATTTCCAGCCTAATTCCTCAGAACGGCAGGGAGGGCTAACTACAGATTCACCTACACCACAATCGGGCAGAGCAAAGCCCATGGGGAAGATCTGAGAAGACCCCCAAGATCAATGAGTGAAAACAGTAACACAGAAGACTCAACCCACAACAACCAGCTCAGTAAGTTCTCAGACAGTGGCTTTAGTGACACCACTCTGAGGAAATTTTAAAAGCTAAAAGACAGGATGACACAAGTAGCAAAGCAAAAGAATGTATGAAAGCTTAAATGAAAGAAA